TTTTTTTTTTTTTGGTATCTTTGCTTTAAAATCATTTAAGGGCTCATTGTAAATTGTACTTGTTTGCGCTCTACTCTGTTCACAATAAAATTTCATCTACATTAAAATTTCATCTACAGGTAAGTTAGTCTGCATTCCACAAGTCAAGTGGCCTGGCTTCCTCTGGAAGTCCATACTGGAATAAATAGCAGGAGAGCATGCTCATGCAGCCTTTGATGGGGCTGGGAGAGGGGTGGCTGTACACAAACTTTTATCAACAATTGGAGAATCTCGAAGAACAACTGGAGACATTATGTATGAGGTGGTATTACTAAATTAATGTTTATTTTCTTAGGTATGATAATGGTGACCTAGGTGGTCATGCATCACTTAAGGCTGGGATACATCCTGAAAAATGGCCCTTAAGTGATTTCGTCGTTAGGTGACATCATGGGGTATAATTACTGACACCTGGCTGTACACATAGCTGTGTGTAGGGACCCCTGTCTGACATGCAGCCCTTTGTTGGCCAAAAATGGCTGGTTTCTTAGCTGGTCAGCTGTAACAAGAACAACTAACTGGGTGGCTTACAGAACACAGAATTGTATTTCTCATAGTTCTAAAAGTTAGGGGTGGGAAGTTGCTCTGAGATCCAAGTGTTGGCCGATTAATTGTCTGGTGAAAGTTTCCTGATTCACAGTGATCTGCTTGCATCGCCCTCACAATGTGGTATCTTTCACAAGGACCCCCTGCTCATGGGGCCCCATCCTCATAAGCTGATCTCCTCCCAGAGACCCACCTAAGTATCATGGCAGCGGGGATCAGGTTTTAATGTGAATTTGGGGGACACAAAGTCCATTGCAGTTACACAGAGATTGGCCTTTTTCTGTAGGTGAGACAACCCAGAGTATTTAGGAGTCACTCATCAAGACATCTGCAACCTACTTTCAGTGACAGCAGGGAAGCGTGGTGTGTCTGTGTGTGTGTGTGTGTGCACATGCGCATATGTGTGTAAAGGGAGAGAGGGAGAACAGATGTGCAAATGTTAGCAGTCGGAGGCACTTACTGAAGAGAGTGTGGGCATGTACTAGGATGTCAGCTACTAGGATGTGTACTAGGAAGTTGGACTCTTGAAGAAGTCATGGGTGAGCCCCTTCCCTAGAGGCCCCCTGAACATGGCCGTACGTGTGTTCAGTTTGCAGCTCTCCACCCATCCACATGAAGGTGCAGCCCCTGAACCAGACGGCCCTGCAGGTCTCCTGGAGCCGGCCCGAGACCATCTACCACCCACCCATCATGAACTACATGATCTCCTACAGCTGGACCAAGAATGAGGACGAGAAGGAGAAGACTTTCACCAAGGACAGCGACAAAGACTTGGTAAAACCTGCCTGGCCCAGCCAGAGTGCTTACTGCTCTTGCAGCTTGCTGCTCTTGCAAGGGGGCCTCCTTGCTGCACCCCCCTGCTGGCTACTACTGTGTCTCCAGACCCACCTGCCTGTTCTTGCCATGGTCTGCGCTGCAGGGCAGTGGCTGCTGGTGTGAACTGCACCCTGAGCCCACGAGGCTCCATCCCTGATACTTGCACCAGGTCCCCAAGCCAAGCTAGTCAATTTCTTTATAATTGGGTCCTTCAAACTGACTGCTTTTATTTATTTATTTATTTCATTAGTTTAAGAAAAAAATAGCCTCCATTAAGTCCTTCTCATCTGGTAGGGTTCCTGTAAATATGAAATTATGCAAATGTCCGACAGGCCCTGGCTCTTAGAAAGCAGTACATAAGCACACACTGTTTCTCTCATGGTTATTCTTCCTCTCTTCCCACTCCGGCTATGCTCACTACCCGCTAGCCCCGGTCCCCTCCACCCCTTTTGTTACAATCATTCTGCCTCGTACATTCCCGTTACCTGCCGGACCCCTTTTCTCAGACACTGAAATGTCTGACCTCACTTGCAGCTATCGATGCCCAATCAACTTTCCACCTTAAAACTGACATAAATGTTAAGTGGCCAGCCCCCAAAGAGGCCAAGAACAGATGTTTGCAGAAGCCATCTTCCCCAGAAGAGCAAACCCTTGCAAGCACCTGTCTATAAGTCTTTGTGCATAAATTCAGTGTGACACATTTGGGTTCAAAAGCTCACATTTATTGTTAATCAAAGGGAGGCTCTGGAACCCTGAAGTCTGCACATGAGAAAAGCAACCGCACAGACTGGGATTCTTCATGGCTGTTAACACTTTTTCCCTCCAATTCAGAGTCCCTGGGGCCAATTCAATCAGGTATAGAATAATACTCTTTGAATTCCTTTAGATGAAGATTCTTTTACTTCATTTCCATATATATTTTCAATTTTCCCACTAGACACTGTTATCTGGGTCACATTAGGGAATGCTGAGCTTCACAAAATCAGAGCTCTCTTTTAAAAGGCATCCAAGGTTATGATGTATTTTGACCTTTCTCTTGTCACCCCCGGAAGTCCATAAGGGACTTTTCTCTTTCTGAAGTAAAGATGGCTTACATTAATCAGCAGAAACTGTCGAGATGCTTATGCGGTTTCTTGTTCTAAGTGAAAAATAATTAAACATGCAAAGATGAATAGATACCGCCTTGCAGCAAATTCTAATAAATCCCTGCCTAGACGGAGCGAAAATTTTGCTCTGAACAGAAGACTGGGTCAGAGGTTTTGAGAATGAAGCATAAATTAGTTTCAGAGAAAGAGAGAGATGTAGACTATAACATGCTTTGACAGCAAGTTCTTTTTTATAAGAATTTCGAAGGTTGGTTATTTTCTTTGGGGACACACAAAATTAATTTTGTTAATTCCTCAAGAAGTCAAGAGTGCTGATGTAGTGGCAACAAAGCTATTCTCTAACTTAGGGTGACTGTGACCCAGAACCCTAAAAGAAACTTAGTACTTTGTAGCACTTTCCACAACTCTCTTCCACATCCTCACTATAATCCTGTCCAGTGGGTGTTACTATCTACCTTTTCCAAAAGCGAAAACAGAAACTAACAGTTAAATAACATGGCTCCCACCCACGGCTCTTCCCAGGAAGCTGTTTTCTAGGCAACAGCAGCAGGTGAGACCACAATTACTTTTTAATATCTGGTGAGAGGTTTTTAATAGCTATGTGGGGAAACCACTCGATGGTTAAGCACACAGAGCTGCTTTTTCTGCTTGGTCCAGAATATATGTTTGGGTAACAGAGTGGGGATCTGGATTTAGCAGATGATGTTTCAGGGATGGGTTGACTTTTTCTAGAATGGGTCAAACAGTAAAGATTTTAGGCTTCACAGGTCATAAGGCCTCTGTGGCAAATACTCAACCCTGCCCTTCTAGGGTGAAAGACCTTAGGCAATGTATAAATATAGGCGTGATTGTGTACAATAAAACTTTACTTACGAAAACATGGAGGGCCAGATTTGGCCTGTGGGCTGTAGCTTGCCTGACCCTTGTGATTTACCAGTGGCATTCTTTCTGTTGCTTAACATGGACTACCTATTAGCAAAGCTTGCCTGGCTTTCATTATGTAGTTGTCTCACAAGCATGCAGAGGATGAAAGGACAGCTGGTTAAGAATCGATAAGCTAGTAAGCGGGATTTCAAAGCTAGATCTCAGCCACCTCACCTCCAGCCAGACATTCTGCCTAGTACTGTTCCCCATGTCTTTTGTGGTCAAGTTGCCACTGGGCCTTTCAACTATAAAGAAACATACATGGAGACTTTATTAATGATGTTCAAAATTCTGCTCACATCTGGAAATGCCATGTGCTTGATAATTCTAGAAGACATCTAGGATACAAAGGTACCTAAAGGCCAGAGGACATGGTTGAGGACATGGTTGAAAGTACCTAAAAGCCAGAGTCAAAGGTGATTTTGTTATTTCCCTTTTCCTGTCCATCTGAAAGAGAATTCCGGCAGTGTTATTTCTGAATGCTGCTCCTTTCATAATGAGCCTTTTGTCGGGAGATGTGGTATCTGCCAAGCTCTGCCTAGTGTTCAGAGACCTATCAGTGCCCTTTACCATCACTTTAGCTTTGGCCTTCCAAACAGTTCACTGCCTCTTCTTTCTTCACCTACAGAAAGCCACCATTAGCCATGTCTCACCTGATAGCCTTTACCTGTTCCGTGTCCAGGCCGTGTGTCGGAATGACATGCGCAGCGACTTCAGCCAGACGATGCTCTTTCAAGGTGAGACTGATTCCCTTCCCTACCTGGCCTGGGGTGGCCCTGAACCCCTTACTTCTTTCACTATGCAGTATTTTTTTTTTTCCCCATCAAGGTGCTTGGACAAAAGAAAGTAAGCTTGGCCTGAGAATCAGTATGAGGTCTTACATCACACCAGGAAAGCCTTGGGATTGTAGACCTGTCATATGGGGCGGGGGGTGTCTGGGGGGGGGGGCGTTCCTAAGCCAGAAGTGGGTGGAAAAGCAAAGTGTTGCTTTAGATTTTTAAGATTCCTTATCAACTGTGGTGAAAGAAGTATTTGGATCTCCACCCACCCATTGCCTGTCGCTGCCACATCACAAAAGCACCTCCCAGTTGTGCTGTCAGGAACCCTTTTTGGGTTTCTAACATTATCCAGTAGCTGATGTCCAAACAGGTCCAGCTCACCCTTGCAGCCTGAGGGGTCCTTGAGCTTGAGATATCCGTCCCTGCTGTTTTAGGCATGGTTATAACACCCCAGAGCCTGCACTCAGGGGAGAACGTGAGTGTTTTACCTTGATACAGAATTTAAAGGAACACCAAAAATTCCCACTGATCAAAGTGCATAGTATTTTAAAAGAATATTTTTTTCCAAAGCAAAAACTTCATAAATACCAGAATTTTAAATAAAGACAGAACCAACCCTGTCTTACTTGCAACAACCTAATCCCAGTTTGAACCATTCCCCTCGAAAATGTCAATGTTGCACCCACTGTAAATCTTGTAGGACAGCAGCAGCTTCATCTGAAAGCCTGTGAGAAATGCACATTTCTGGGCCCCTCCCAGCCCGATGGTATCAGAATTTCTGAAGATGAGAACCAGGAATCCAAGTTGTTATATTTAAAAATTTACTTTTATTTATTTATGCATTCAAAAACTGGCATGTAGGTCAGAGGTTCAGGGGATGAAAGGATTCCCCAGAGACAGAGTGGGGAGCAGGACAGGCAGAGTGACAGAGTACACTGCTGAGGGGAGCAACGGATAGGTCAGGAGAAGTCTGCCATGCCATGTGGGTCAGCTCCCTGGCTAGGGATAGTGGCTTCGGAGAGCTTCACAATGTGGTGCTTTAACCCATTGCGCCACCAGGGAGCGCCCTAGAACCTGATTTTTAGCAAGATGGCCTGGGTAATGGGTGCTGGTTTAGAACTGGAACCCTGGAAAAAGGGCTTGAGGTTTGAGGTCTGACTGCCCCTTGGTGTTCCTGTCACTCTGAGAAGGTCCCCTAACTTCTGATCTAGTTTCCTAATCCAAAACATACTGGTATTTACAGTACCAGCCTCTCAGGTCCTGGTAAAATGGTGTGAGGTACAGGTTTTAAGTAATTAACACCATGCCTGGTTCTGACTATAAATGCCCCCCTTTTATTTGTTCTGACATTAAAATAAAAAAAAAATAAATGATAAGCCAAGATAAGAAACCGTTCAGCCTGGATCCCCTCCAAGGACTCCTTCTAGCTAATAACTGCATTTATATTTCAATAGTCTAATCTTCACCTTGATCACATCCTTCCATTTAAACTAATTGAAATTAATACAACTATATTTTCCCCCCACAAATAGTCACACTGCATGTGTCTACCTGTTCCCTGAATGTGTGGGCCCGTTGGCCTGTGTTGTGAAAGGGGCCTCAGGCCTAGATAGGGTCTGTGCCAGCCCAGGGGAGAAAAAAGGGGAAGCCAGGAGCTTACTGAGATGTGGGCCTGGGAACTGTGCTCCAGCCCGAGCCTGGAATCTGCAGAATTGCTTCTCCTGATTAATAGGCCCCTCAACTTGCTGGCTTCTGCATAGACTTTGAAAAATTAAATGTTTGTAATGTAATGTAATTCAAAAAGGCCTTGTCAGCTATAAATTCAGGAAAATGGAATATTTAAAATATTCAATCACCGTGACTTGTCTACAGACTTTCTTTGTTCAGAGGTGGACATGAGTTGCCTTAATCAACTCTTGTTGACAAAATATGTTGAAAAAGAGCACAGATTCTTTGTTTCTCCCCACAGTGCATTGGCATCTTCCCTACAGCATCCAGGGGGTAGTGTCAACCCAAATCTTAATCACAGTGATTAAGTTAAACCTTTTCTGGTGAGCCACATAGGCATTCATGAGCAGGAAAGACCATGTGCAAAATCAAGCAGCTGCTTGGACTTCAATTTTAAAAGGCAAAAAAGGAAAGTTTAGAGAATTCCACAGAAGCCATGTTCAACATGACCAGGTTTCTTGGTGATAAAGTTTACACCTGGATGGGGATCAGGAAGAAGCTGATGCTTCCTCATGCCACATGAAATACTGATCTTTTTGTAGTGAGGATATCAATATTGTTTTCTATGCAACATAGCAATCACCGTGTGATATTTGTCTTACTGTGATGAATGCAATGTTGGGCACTGTCTGAGGAATCACTCATAGTCACAGGCACTTGCACATAAATTATTGCATTTGAACCACGCTTTGTGGAAGTTGTAATATAGGTGTTGTTTTACAGCTGATGTCCAGGGGTGGTCCAGTATCTTGCAAAAATTCACTTATCTACAAGCAGAGTACAGATTTTTTGTTCCAAAATTCAATCATTTATTTGCCAGCATGGACCATTCTGAAGAGTGAAAAGGTGCATTGTGTATTACGTAGTATTTAAAGCCTTTTGTAATTTTCTGTGATCATGGAAAATAGGTATAGCTACTTTTCTTTTAGATTTATTTATACATACAAGAACTGGGGTACAGGTTAAAGATGTGGGGGATGAGAGACTTCACTAGAGACAGAGTGGAGAGCAGAACAGGTAGATATACTGAGGCACACTGCTGAGAGGAGCAGCAGGCAGCTCAGGAGAGGTCTGCTGTGCCACATAGGTCACCTCCCTGGCCCAGGATTGAACTCCTGCTGCAGTGGCTGCGGGTAGCTTCATAGTGCTGCATTTTAACCCGTTGTGCCACCAGGGAGGGCCCAAAAATAGGGCTTTTTCTTTGGACTACAGACCCATGCAGCAGCCTGGGAAAGCCAAAGAATCCTCTCTCTGAAGAGTTTTTTTTTTTTTTTTTTTTTTTTTTAAAGATTTATTTATTTATTCATACAGAACTGGGGTACAGGCCAGAGGCTCAGGGGCGGTGAGAGGCTTCACCAGAGACAGAGTGGGGAGCAGAACAGGCAGACCGACGAAGTACACTGCTGAGGGGAGCAGCGGGCGGGTCAGGAGAGGTCTGGCTCGCCATGTGGTCTCCTCCGGGGCAGGCGGCAGGCGGGAATCGAACTCATGCGGAAGTGGCTTCAGATTCTCAGTGCTGTGCTTTAACCCGCTGCGCCACCAGGGAGGGCCTCTCTGAAGAGTTTTTAATGAATGCATAAAATACATAGGCAGGGCAACCAATTATGTTCAGATACAGTTGTCAAAATATTTTAAGCACATTTGGAATATAATAGTAGATGTACATTTTCATTAAACTATTAATGATAACTGATGGGTATGTTAGCTGCTGTGCTTTCTGAGAGTTCAAAGTCACTGCAAACTATAAGGCAGTATGAAAATACCTGATTTCAATCACAAAGTCACAGTTCCTGTGAATACAACTAAGATTTGTTGTCTGCATTCAGGGTGGAAGGAAGAAGAGCCACCTCTTAGTGAGTGTGCAGATGTGATCTCCTGCCCCTTGAATTCTATGAGGCCCAGAGACCCCAGGTTAAGCACCCCTGATGGGAAAGGTGCTGTGAAAACTTCTTAGTCAGCATGTCGAGACCTGACATGGTGGAAATTGTTCCTGATTAATGGAAAGGGCCCCTGCTGATGGAGTGGCTGTTCAGTGTGTTGCCCTTGATTAGAGCCCTTTGCAAAGGAAGGGGAAGTGGGTCTCCCGGGAACTGTCTTCCTGTCTCAGCAAAGGGAGGTGTGCAGACCTGTCTGAGGCCACACACTATCGATCCTGGTGCAAATAAGGATGGTGGTTATTGAGTCTCAGGCGAGACTAGGCCACCTTATTTTACATGCAGTCTGAACAGTTGTATTGACTTCTAGATTGGTCTGTTTTCCACCTTTGTCTACTTGCACATTTCACTTTCCAACTCCACAAAATGAATGAATACATCTCAGGTCAAGGGTTGCAAACTCAGGTGTCCATGTACAGTTGAGGGGAGGGTGCTCAGTAGGAAAATGGAGAGCATGGCTTACCTAAAGGGCGTGATGGATGCTCATCTCCAGCCAAATGTGACCTGCAGAAAGGTGAGCTTGGTTTGGCCAGATAATGTGATTTTTTTTTCTTTCCTTTTCAGAGTAAGCTGGAAATTGGGATTTTTTTTTTTTAGGTGAAACTACTGTTTACAATGTTGGCAGAAAACTGGGTTTTCAATAAAAGCTTGGTAGGTCAAACAAAAAATATATGCTGGTCAGTGGCCACTTCTGGTTTAGCTCAGAACCACAGCAGGTATAAATGTTATTTATTTTGGCAATTAGCATTGTTTGCTCATTTTTCAGAGCCTCATATACATAGTAAACAAACTTTTATACCACCTTTAAGATAACTACAAAAAGCAGGTTGACCCTTTTTAAAAATTATTAAGTTATACTATTTGGCATTGCTCACAGTAGCACAAAGGTGGAAACAGAAAAGCCTTTCAAAAGGGAAAACAAACTAGGGGGGAGGGGTGTCTGTGTGAGCATTATTCAGCCTTAAATGGGGGGAAAAATCTGATCCCACTACAACATGTATAAATCATGAAGATATTATACTAATTGAAGTAATTCAGTGAGAAAAGGACAACCGTGTTTGGTTCTATTTATATGAAGTTTCTGGAGGAGTCAGACTCAGAGAGAGAAGATGGCGGCTGCCAGGGCCAGGGGACCTGGGGAGTGTCGTCAGTGGGTACTAGCTTTTTGGTTCTCGAGATAAAAGCCTTCTGGCGCTTGGGCTGCCCAGTGGTGTGAATATACGTGACCCCACTGAACAGTGCACAGAAATACTTGATGGTAAATTTTGTTATGTGTAATTGACCACAGTTTTAGGTAATTTTAAGTTATGTTCCTTAATTATGGTGAAAACGGGAGATCAGAACTCCAGGAGGGAAGAAAACAACAGAGAGGGTGATATGACATTGATACAAAAGAATGTGACTTAAAGCAATAACAGTAAAATCTTCCGGGGTTTTATTTTAATATATTTAGTTGAGATAACACTGGTTTACAGCATCACATATGATCTGCAGGTGGAGCGTTGCCTCGTCAGGGCTGTTGCTATACCATATCCACCGCCAAAGATCCCCTCTGTTCCCACAAAACATAAGTAGAAAGATGGCAATACACAAAATGAGGCAAGCAAATAAAGTTTAGTTATTTTACTGCACAATATTTTAAGAAAGCGGTAAAATGTTAGTTTAAGATAAACTGAGTCTAGAATGGATACCATCATCACTAACAGGAAAATATAAGAAATTATAACCAAAATGTTAATCAAGAGGCTCGTTGATACATGATTCCACTTACACAAACAATTACAAAAGAAGGCAAAACTGTGGCAAGTCAGAATGGTGGTCACCTTTAGGGGGTAAACGCGGGATTCTCTGGATAAACACAAGCAAGCCTGCTGGAATGGATGCTGGAGAATGTCCACAGCTTAGTATGGATATGAGAACACAGGTGTTGGCAGAGGTAGAGTAATTGGATCATCCACTTTAATTTTGTGCCTTGTTTTTTTTAAAGATTTATTTATTTGTGCAAACAGACCAGGGAGGGCCCAATTTTGTGCCTTTTACTATGTGTAAGTTTAACCATATAGAAAACAGAAGGTTTTAAATGGTTTTAAAAGTGTCTTAATATTTAAGACAAGAGTCAGAAAACCATGGTCCATTGGGAAAATAGAGTCCTCTGCAAGTTTTTTATGACTCAAGCAAAGAAGGATTTTACATTTTTAAATGGTTG